TTAATCAATAGAAGAGGCTGCGTTGATTAATCCAAGACCGATCTATAAATAGGCACCGTTAAACAAGAGGGAGCATGATAAAATTAACTCGAACATCTGTGTACAACCCATAGGAACATGCAGCATAAAACGCAAGCAGAATCCTACAGCTCAGATATGGAATTGCATCCATCCACTTCTTCCTTAGGACGCGCCAACATTAAACGAACGAAAAGTCTAGGCTCATGCATGTAGTCAATTTGTCGACTTGAACCAACTTCCATTCTTCTTCCATTTCTGCCCAGGCCATCATCTCTTCATATCCATCTTGTCAGACTTCTCTACTTCTCACCTCTCTCATTGCTAGTAGCTATTACCATGGGATCTTGTAATGATTGCTGGGTAGGGAAATCGGGCAATGACGGGAGCTTCCGTACAGATCTTTCAGTCAAATGTTAGGGCTTTGCTCCAAATTGGATGGTTGCTAACATCGTTCCTCCACAAGCTTAGTGGAAGTAACAATCAATGTTTATAATGGGTTAAGATACGAAGTACGGGGTCCAATCGTCCATATATATGATGGTTGACTTCAAACCAAGCTCGCCAATGGCTACAAGCGCAAGGACAGCGCCCAGAGGGGCTTTGTTGGTAGGCTTTCTGTCTGAACTTACCGACTGGTAACAATATAACTCCCAGTATGAAAACGAGATTCAAGCAAGCGAACTACTGATGGAACTGCAGGCAAAACATAGAGTTTGCTCACAAATACCCACATCACTGCCCAGGATCCGCCAATCGGCCGGGAATCGTCGATGAATTACCAGTAATAATTATCCAGCTTGACACAAGATGAAATTGAGCACTTGTCTTTGGTTCTGGCAATGCTCATGATGATTGCATCCAGCACATCATTTCGGGTTCGCCATTCGTATTTTTCTCCCTTTTCGGTGGTTTTGGGAGAAAAGCAAACAACAGGGAAAAGCCAGGTCCGAGACTGTGCTACAGGAAATCTGACCGCAACTCTTCACCAGGTCGTGTGCCGTCCAACGATGATGTGTCAGTCATTCTCTGCCTGGATGATGTTTATTAAGTGGCAAAGTTCATCTCCTTTGTGCCAGCCGGCTTTTCGGATGCACCTGGAAGCGTAGGTACTGGAGGATAAGAGCACCCAGCAACAACTGCAGAGAAGAGCCTTGTCGAGGCTCGTGTTCCCAGACATTCCTACATATATGGTCCAATGGTTCGACGGGTTCCAACGCAAACATATGCGCGACCCTAGGCGCCCTGCAGCCTGCAATTATGGCATGCACTCAGATGCCCCGGAGCTGAACCCAGCAATCAACCCTCCGTCACTATTGATCACTGGAGATGGATCACTTATCCTATTGTGCCATTGTTTGATCTCTCATTCATCTATATGGGACACAGGCACAAGCATCTCAGGACGGTTGCTGAGAGAGACCAAACCTCGCAACCCTTTCCTGTTACACTATGAAAAACAAAAGTTCAAGGACAAGAAATATATGCAGTGATTGCTTGCCCAGACATGGTATCCAGATGAGCCTTCTCCCTCCCGCACCCTAAGTGTGACAGTGGTTAATGTTCAAGTACCTATGCGATCTCATTATGATTGCCTAGGATCAGCAACTAAGAAGTCTATTAGGTCTGTACTGATGTGTTCTGTGTGTTATCTACTATTCTGGAAGCACGAGCAGCAAGCTTCACAGACCTAATACTGTCAATATCACCATGTTCAATCTTCCTCTCATTTTATATGCTGGCCAATGAACTAATAAAGAAGCTCAAACTGACCATTATATTATGGAAAGGTGGCAATGTGACCTTTTTCACCCTCTGATACCCCCTCCTTTCTTCATATTATTATTCTGCTTCCTGTCTCCTGTAAAGTCTAACGTTGGATCCCTGCCCTTTTCACAGCTCCGGCTCTGTTGTTGTGATTTTGCCGCTTATATTTCCATTAACTCGAATATTTGTTCTTCTGACGCTGCAGCTCACTGCGCTTTGTCGCAAAGGAGCTTCCCTCTGCATACATGGTACCTGACAGGCTGGTTCTGGCCTACCCTCATAGCTGCTCAATCCTCGACCCCACCTGGTCCTAGGGCATCTAGCGTTTCAACACACCTATGTTTAGGGTTCTAGCTTCTGTCCTTTTCTTTTTTTTCAGGGATTGCAGCAGCTGTATTCGTTCCCTCGAAGCTCCATCAGGGGTGACCTTGCATCGCTGTCGGATACGGTTGTTATGGCTTCTTTCTTAGTATGGCAGTTCTCTTCATGCGAGTCATACTGACTGGGTCAGGGATGGGCTCGAACCTTTCAGACATATATTTAGTTGTCGGCTTATTTCAATATCTCCAGGTGTGCTCTGCTGCAATTGATTCTGCCCCAAACCCTCTTTGGTGCTGCCCCGTTCATAAATGCGAGCGGTTTGCTTAAATATCTACCGACGTCAGGAACAGGTCTTCCAGATATCAACAACTAGGGTGAGTCCCTCTATGTCTATATGTTTTTCAGTACATCCTCTTGTATAGTTATTCTGTCATGACATGTCTTGAGGTATCAGGAAGACCTGGCATACGTCCACAATCATTACCCATTGTCGCCTGCGAGCTACGCTTACACCGTGTTCAACCAGCGAAGCTACAACAGTCCATCAACATGAGCGGCTTTAGTAGGCGTATCACTGAGGGTCATGACAACTATTTAGTGAATCAGCAGATTGCTCTACCCATCTCTTATAGTCATGCGGATAGCCATGATTTCACCAGCAATGGCACGGCACCACATCATTTCTCGCAACAAACGTTCAGTTCATACGCATCTCAAATCGGACCCGCCTACACTCAGGCCGGCTTACCCCCCGGCATCAATCAATCATCTACGCACTCCATCCCGGTCGCCCCAGAAGATGAAGTTGTGCAGCACCAACCCGTACAATGTGCACGGCAAATGCGGTATTTGCAGTCGCCGAGGTATCTACGTCTTCATGAAACAATCAGTGAGATAGGAATAGAGAGCCAGGAATCCGTCAATGAGAACACGATGCTGTCAGAGCCAGTTATTCCTCCATTGGAGGGTTTTCCTAGCGTGAGGGAATTTGATCAATTGATAAGATGGTTAGTTCTTTCATACCAGGCGCTCAATTCACCCTCTGAAGTACTCCCACTTACGTGGTACAACAGTTATGTGAATGATCTCTCAGTTAAGAAACAAGACAAGGCATTGATACATGCCAGGAGAGCACGGAACATCAGGACTGTGCTGATCGACCCAAAAGATACTGCCATTGAATCAGCCCAATTCAGGTACCTTTCCCTGGTCCCAAGCTCCTGGCCCAATCTTCCTGCCCTTGGGTGTGTCAGTCTGGGCACTTGCTTGACTTTCTCCTGATGATGGGAAACGCTGCTAAGTTGTTGAGAATAGATTCTGGGTGAAAAAGATGTTCAAACTTCAAATTATTGGCGTTGAATCCTCAAATGTTTGTACTTCACCTGTTGAGTTCAAGAAGCCCTTTTGCACTAATATTGTGATTTGGTTCAAAGTGCGCAAAAATTATCTGTCACGAAGGAAAGCCTGTAGCCATTCGAGAAAAGCTCTTCAAAATACTCACAAGGGCACATCAGCAATGTCAGCATGGCGGTAGGGATAAAACATCAGCACAAGTTCGGCAAATATACTCCTGGTAAGCAATCCTTATCCCTATTGCTGAGGACGCTGTTCAATATCGTACCATGTCTGGAGTGAACCTACTATCCTCGATGATCCTCCTAACCAGTCTGAAGGGTCCCAAAAGAGCTCATTTCCCGATTCGTCAAGATATGTCCTACATGCCGAGTTCGTCGGGGTGGTGCACGATTGACGCCCCCTAGTTCAAGCAGAAGCTCCCCTCGACGTGAGCCTCCACGTCGTTCGCACAGACTTCCCTCCCCCCCAAATTGTAGGCGAGATTCGATTCTATATGGCCAGCCCACCCTGGAGAGGTCGCAAGCAGACTATTTGAGTCAATTGAATGGTCACGCTGGTTACTCAGATAATTATCATGACTCAGTTGGACGGTCCGGCCTCATTACAGGTTCTGTGAGATCGCTGAGCGGAGCATCGGTGGCCAACCTGCCAAGTCCTTTGTCCATGACATTGGATGCCTTCCACGGCAGTGACTTGTCTCAACTCAGTTATGGCCCGGCATATGCGACTGCGAATGATCAGGCGAACCATCGAGACTTCTAATCTTTTGAATTTGAACAGGTCAAAGTATCCTATTATCCAGCAGCCTTAAACATGGGTTTGCGGACCGTCTGATTCCACGCTATGTGAGATTCAGACCCTGCAGAATAATTTTAAATATCTGAAGATCTGCTCATTTTCATTCTCTTAGTATGTCTACATTGTACCAGGTGCTCAGATTCTCCATGGTTGTGCAAGTACAAGTGAAAGAGGATAAATGCCTGCCCAGCACTGTTAAACTAGTGGTCTTGTTGCCCCGGGACCCAAAGATGTATACAGCATGTTGGCCGGCTACTGATGCACCAAAGATATAATTTGAAGGGAATCATGCTACTAACACGAGAAGGTCTGACTATCTATAAGATGGCAAGAAAGAAGCTAACAAGTGATGTGCGACTGCATCTGGCTCCTGTCTTGGCTCATGTCACCCCATGCACACCGCATATATAGAATGAAATGTCAGAGAAAATCGGTTGTTTTCACTTGCATTAGATCATTAATGTGCCCAGCATGTATAAAGATCCCTACAGGCTGCAGGTGCAAGGTAACAATGCAGAATTAGGAGGCTGGTTGAGCTTGTAAAATGATGTATACAATACATATCTAACCCTTGTACTTTCAAAGGGCTTCTAATGATAGACATACACAATGATGTAGGGAAGACATGATCTGTTCAGAGTAATATGAACTGATTCATTCATCAGAATCACGGGGGAAATCGTGCTTCTACCCTTCTGTATCGGCTAGATCACCACCCATCTGAACCGCCCTGTCGCCACTTAGACCGGGAGGGAGAACTTTTTCCCTTTCATTACCCTGTTCTCCATTAGCCTAACGCTAAGAATGATGCGAGGGCTATTGACTCACTTCGTGTAATAGATGTAGAAAAAGTCCGAATACAGGAGCGTCTGGACTATACCTGCCACGACGGGTATCGGCTGGAAGCGGTTCTCTGCGAAGTAACGATAAACCCAATTAGGTATATAGAGGGCGCGGTAGAGTCCCAGGGCAAAGAGGTAATGTGTGGTGATAGTGTCTGCTTCTCCGGTGCGCTGGAGCATAAAAAGCTGTGGAAGGATAGCGACGGATTCAAGCCATATGGAAAAGGTCCAGAGTATCTTGAGAAACGTTAGAGGAAGCACAGGCCTCTTTATTTCTGAGAAAGTAACAGACCTCCGAAATGCTGTAATCATGTGGGAATAGGACGGCCAAGATAGCACTGATCCCTAGAAGGTATTGGACTTTAAATGTGTCCAAATTGGGATCCCGGGTGGGTTTGTAATCGTTGAGCATTAGGTAGATAATGTAAGCCGACGAGCATATGAACAGGACTTTAAAGGTGGTGTTGTATAAGGAGTCGGTGAGAGTCCAGAATAAATCTAGGCCGTCATAATGGTTAATGAAAGCTCTCATAGGGCAGCGCAAAGGACTCACCGAGATAGCGTGTGAGAAAGACCAGCAGATACAAAACTTGTGATTTGAAAGATAAACCAGAGCAGCTCTACATTTCTGCGTCAGATAATATCAACGTAATAAATCGGAATGTCGTACACTAGAAGACTTCATCTTATGCAAAAGGATGAAGATGGATATTAGATGAGAAAAATCAGCTATTAAGTATATCAGTTTGATAGAGCCGTTTGATGAGATCTGACTACTGTAGCTCACCTGATAACCTGAAAATATTCATACTGGTCAAATGAACTTCCTAGCAAAAGCCGGAAGTTGAAAATCTGCGAGTCTTGATAGAGATGGATTGGGAGCAGGTATTCAATCACATCCACAATGAAGAGGATGTCAATATTCAGCACTCATAGAGGCAATTGCAAGTCGCTGAGTGAGTGGGTAAAGTCATCCACGCAGACGTGATGGTATTACACAGTTTGCAAAAGTGGACACTGGATATTAAGATATTGACACGAAGCCTCAGCTTGCGCGCCAAGGCCCGACCCGACGCGTTGCGTAGTTATGCTACAATTGTCAATAGGTCGGTCCGAATGATATTCCATACTACAGAGACCCACCTCATTCTTTTCACTAGTCTACTTAGTACCTGCTGGCTATACGATATATCATTTCCAGAAAGTTGAATATTCTGATGCGAAGGCTAAATAATTTGATATCCGACCCTCTCATCTGATCATTGAAGTTTTCCACTCCACGCATGTTTTGTGAAAGGTAGTTTTAACTCAGGCATAGGATCGAATCACCAAAAAGGAGTTTGTAATTTGACCCCCAGGTTCTCATTAAAATGTGGTACTTGTATGCATACTCTCGCCATCAGTAATACATAGCAAATGACCCTCTGCTAGCTCACTCTTCAATGCACAGATAGAGCTCTCTCTATCTAGCCTCTCCCAGTCTCTAATGACAAGGTGCTTCAGCCTTTGGCTATCTGCAATTTGTTCAAATAACCGTTCTTTGTCCATCTCTAACTGGGCAAGCCGCTTTTCCACAGTAGAATCTAGGTCGTACGCCAGAAGTCTGCCTCCTGGGACAATTGTATTGATGCCGGCAAGGTAATTGGTGGGCCTTTGGCGAGGATAAGACGTCCCAGATAAGCTATTTTGCCGATAGATATGCTGCCGATCAGAGTCAACACTGGGTCCAGTCGGGATGTGGCCATGACGCGGCCCTGTGGGAGGAGTTGCTTGCGAGATTGACATGTGTCCACGACGAGTAGAACGAGCAAAATCCTTCGGATTCAAATTTCCGCGAGGGCGAGTCGGGGCAGAAAGTAGGGATACCATGGAGCCCCGAGTGCTAAATGACGGCTTGGGCCCTGCAGATATGTTGGGCGTTGCAGCCTGGCCATAGGACCTCTGTCCACTTTGAGGGGTAGCGCCGGAAATTGCATCAGCAGACTCCGGGTTATTCTCTGTACGGCCCAACATGGAGTCCGAGACACCACGGTCATTTGAAAGTGCAGTGATTTGCACCGAAGCTGGCGGCGTATCTGTTGCATCTCCTTGACTTTTGTGTTCATTTGACGAGATTGTTTCAGCTTGACGAGATGAGGAATGATCAGAAGATACGGACAGGCGGCGCTGCGGAAAGTCTCGAATGACTGGTGACCCGCTTCTCGATTCGCGCACCGCCGGCCTGGTCGCGTCATTCAAAGGGGATGAACGCCTTGAGTCCGAACGAGAGCTAGAGGTTGAATTGTGGATAGTTGAAGCAGCCCAAGTCGAAGGTAAAGGCCGTGCCTGGCTTGTATTGTTATCTGGACGACGATCTCGGAACTCCTGCGAAGAACTCCGTCGACGATGACTTGTCGTCAGGGGAGTGATATCACTGGCACGACCTGGACCCCGCCTCAGGGGAGACGCAGATTTTTTGTAGCGATCGACAGTCGGTGGGTAGCGCTCTCGTTTCGAGTACGTGAAGTCTTGCCTAGGAGGGCTCTGGTCTCGCCGTCTAGGGGTAGATCGACCGCGAGAGCTATCACGAGGGCGGTCATCATACGGTGAACGCGGACGCCATCCAATTTGAGGCGATCGCAGGCGTGCATCTCGTCTAGGCGAGAATCTCCTTGGAGCACTGTTTGCAAATAGTCCAGGATCGGAGTCTCTGTGCCGGTAAGGTGGACTTCGAGAATGACGTCTGAAAGGCAACGGTGAACGACTTCTTAAACGACCGTAGTGTCGACTAGAGGAGGGCACCCATGTATCAGCGACAAGCCGAGGTGAACGAGTTCGTGTCGGGGATGTGTGACGACTGTAGCCTCGAGGAGCTGGCGGTCGATAGCTCTCCCTACCACGATGATCTTCGAACCTAGCAAGATAGACCACGTTAGGCAAAGGATTGTCTCGGAGGAAATATCAACGAAAACCCTACCTTCTACTGCGTTCCCAGTCCATGTTGCTCAAAGCTCCGCGACGTTTAATGTAATGTGGCTATAACAGTGTGCAACAGCTGTCATCTGCTTATATGTAATGATAATTTTTTCCAACAATGACAATATAGGCAACAATCCTTTCGACAAGATGGAGCTGATGGGTGTTCAGTTTGAGAGAGGAATCTGTATCTATTCTATGAAATGTAACAGCCGTACCCCATATTTTACATTGGCTACAAGAAAGACTGAAGGTCACGTGTGATTGGACTCTCTGTAACCAATCAAATCAAATTACATTGAAGCTATCAAACATCTCTTATCGTGGCGAAGGCTTATATAATAATAATCTTAGCCATCAATCAAAGTTTCCTCATTTAGTTTAGCCCTAGTGCCTCGTCCTTCAGGCCTTGGTTCTCTGTTTCTCTGTTTCTCTGCTACTTTCCTACCCCTGAAGCTTCTACTTCCTAAGCCTTCCACTGCCTTAGCGACATCTATCTATGATCTCCTATTTAGAGCCGCCCTTATCTATATATAGAATACGGAGTATAATTCTGCTGGAGTATGGCGCTGCTGTTATAGGGCTGCCTACTACCGTCATAGCCCTCGCCCATATATATGATTCCCCTTAGCCATTGCCAGTTACTGCATCCCATTTGTTACTACCTTGGGTAAGTATAAGGCTATGTGGAATCAGTAGCAAGAGGTTAGTTACTATAGTAGCATTTAAAATAAATATTACGCCATCAAAAATTGACGCTCTGAGACCATAAGGTACTTAGTAAGATGGTGATCGCCATAGGCCCGAACCCTGTGCTAGTGAGCGGAGCAAAGCTGAGGTTAATTCGGCGTAGCCAGCCTGTCATTCATAGTACAGAAAAACCGTGCAATTCTAGGACAATAGGTAACCAGCTTAAACTATACTCTATGGGAAAATCCCTTTGGAGACTATTTGCTCAACCCAGTGACTGTGATTCTATTGTCCGACCAGATACTTGGCAGACTTGGGAAGTCTAATAAGAACGGGCGGCTATTATGAGCAGCAAATGGCTCTTTAAGATTAGACATTGGACATTGTTTAGATAACGCGCTAAAAGAGGGACGCGATGGTACAGCTACCTATGTTGTCGTTCAGAACCGGGCATCAATGTTTTGTTCGTCGATCCTCTTCCTTTTTCAATCTCTTCCGACTCTCATAAGCGATCATATCACTCAAGTCTTCTTGGAAATCCCAGTTGGGATTGGTCTCTTGGTGCTTATGTGACTCGTAAAGATTCCGAAGGTTTTCTTTACTCATCCCATCGCTCACTTGCAATGCGTCTGGGTCAACCGACACGTCGACATCACCAGGCTTCTTCCGTTTTCGATTTGGGTCCTCAGCACCGAGCATAGGCAAGCCCTCCGGAGGCGCCTTGAGATCGTACACTCTGTCGGCTCCAAAGAACCCCTGTACGTGGGCTTGTTTCTCTGGGATGACCTGAAAAGCACTCCGACGTCCCACATGTTCCTCCGTCTGGGTACCTCGATAATTCTTGCGCACGTCAAACTCGCCTGCAACGTTCTCTGCCCCAATATATTCCGATGGAACGCTTGACACTATACCACCAGGTGTCTCCAATCCGCTGGGGGTCTGCAAGCCTGTTTCAGTATCCACATCGTCCTCAGGTTCATCCTCGTTCTCCTCGCTCTCATCATCCGAAGGTTCAGATTCTTGCAACTCGCCCCATAGATCTCTTTCAACAGGTTCTCCTTGTTGAACAGTTTGCTGTGGTTGTAGCACACCAAAAATGTCGCCACCGTAAAGTGGCCGGTTATGTTCATCCACAGGCGGTTTGCCATACCCGCCAGGATGGTAGCCCCACATGGCACCTGGAGGCGGAGGAGCATTGAGACCAGGGATTTTCAGAGCCGGATATGACGGCGGAGGCCCATATCGTTGTTGGTTTATCAACCAGGGCGGAGGTGCACCAGGCGGCATATTGAGAGCTTCCTTCAGCTCAGCGCTGAGCTCACCAGGGCGTAAGTGTCTAAGGTTGGTCTCATATTCTTTGCCCTCATAGTAAACCTCACCGTAACGAGTCAATTCCGGTTTCGTCTGGAAGCGGAAAAACGCCTCATAAAGTTTCTGATAATCTATATCCAGTCTCCCCATTTTGGGCTGGACCCTTTCGCGTTGCCTTTGTTTCAGAGTTGCCTGTTCTTGTTTCTCCAAAGCAGCATCTCGCATTTCTGAGATACCCGTCTCCTGTATAAATTTAGGCAGGGCAAAAGGCGGTTTTTCAACCCCTCTCTTTGAAGACAGATACTCTCTTTTTAAAGACCAGTGAAGAGGCACGGGGACAACATTTCTGTGAGCCTTGATATGGACAAGAAGCCTTGGGTCGGGGGCGGACGTGTCCGTCCACTCGACGATTTCCGGTTTTCGAACCATTGCCTTGAGTTCTGCGACAGAAAGCTTCGTCAATTCTTTTCTCTTCTTTTTTGATAATTTCGGTCCCTTGTCATCTTCGTCCGGAATTTCATCGTCTTCATCGAAATAGACCTCCGGTTTCTCAGGCTGTGCCGATGGTCTTACTTCGTCCTCATTCTCGTCAAACTTTCTGGCAATATCCTTGTACATCTGCCATAGCGAATGGCCGGCGTCCAGGTCCACCTCCCAGGAAGTGCTATTGGCAGCATCGGGTTGGCCAACTAAACGCGGGCTCTGCGTTTCGGGTGCTTCATGGGATGCATCAGTATATTCCTCAATAGCCTATTTGATGTCAGATCTCATTTGACTGGATCGTATTGATGGTAAGTGGTTGCTTTCGGCTTACCTTCGTCTTCAAGGCCTTTTTCCTGGCCCTTCTTAGTTGATTCTTGCTCGGTTTCATGATCTGAATTCAACCAGGACAGAAGAGGTATACCAGAAATAATAATAGCGTCAGTGTGACTTTTTCAACTGTGTTGAATATAAACGTAATCACTGACGCGACTTGCAAGTCCTGCTAGAGCGCTGATGATGGTTAAAATGAAGTTAGTGCCAAGAGTTCAGTTTGCCATTCTAGCTAGTTAGCTAGTTATCCGCTCCCGTTCTGACTAACGCAGGCTGCCACGCTGAAAGAGACAAGGTCCGATGATACCCAGCGTTGCAAACTTGCAGGTTGCAGTATAAGTCGTGGTTCGACTCCGGCTGAACCCTACTGATCTACACTATCCTAAGCGCTAGGAGCAGGTTCGATTATTTGTTCAAACTTGTACTTATGGTAACCTTTCATTTAGTGGTTATATATTGACGCAAGTGCATTGTTATAGCTTGTGAATCATCTGCGACAAGAAACTGCATCAACACGGCGTAGCGATGTTCACTTTATACTTTAAACAGCCAAATCAGACTTCCGGGGCTTATAGAGGTATTTCTGTAACCAATATTCTTTCTTCTTCCTTCCGGGTTTTCAGCTTGTTCGGCAACCCTGACCTGCGGAGTTTTTCCAATTATCTATATGTCTAACCCATATGTCGAGGGCTTCCTTACTAGGTTCGCCCAGATCAGGTTCGTTTGAGTCTTACCTAGGCCGCGATACTTCGACACTGGATAAAGAGCATTGGCGATATCTCGCCGCCAGTACGTGTTCGAACAACCGCATCAGAGTATAACATATGTGCAAATGAGGAATTTGATCATGCCCAGTTTTGAATATAAATTTCCGAAATATACAATACAATAAGTACTCAGTACGACCAGCATGTGAATCGAAGCGAAAAAGGCGCTGTTGACGTAAAGTGGATGCGCGTACGCCATTAGCCCAATCTCGAACGCCTTCTTCGGAACATAGCAGCTCACGAGTCGTTGACTCGGGGAGGGCAACACTGATCAGGCAAGCTTTGTGAGATGGGTTCATACCGGAGCGGGAAGACGTCCTGGATATCTTGAAAGGGATTTGAGGTAACAATGAAGGCGAACTATACACAAGTCTAAACGCAGTATCTCGCTGTAAGGTGTGTGAAAGGATAGCAAGCTGAGACGCGTCTTATGTATGGCGACCACATAGGACATGGGGACTCCACTATGGCACTGGCTATTTCTTCTTCTTCGCCGATCGTGATTCTGTATACCGGTCAGCATGAGTCTTTGAACGAGTATAAGTGTCATACCAGCTGCAGATCTCTTTTTCTTAGGCCTTCCCTTCCCCCTCAGTTTTGCTCTAGGCGTAATCAGCGATCAAGGTTTTACCCGGAGTGTTAGTTGTGACCTACATTTGAATGGCCTCTTCCCGATCGTCCTCATACTCGTCGAAGACGGTCAAGCCGAGCGGACGATAGGCATCCTGCAAGTCACGGAATGAAACAGTCTTTCTGGGATACCACGCCGCCAGTGAAGGTCCTCGCAGTCGCTGGCGTAGAATTTTATTGCCCAGTCGCAGCCGCTGGGGATTAAAATTGAGTGAGAATATACGACATTGAGTCTCGAGATCATCAGCAAGGTAACGCAATATAAGGCCACGGGATAATTCGGCAGCATACCTTGGCCAACTCAAGTATCCGGCTACATGAAGCTGCCATTTTTGCTGTGGAGCCCAGTTTCAAGTTTGGAAGTTCCAGTGCACGATGAGTGAAAGACGGTGGTTGCGATAACGGATCATGTGACTGATGTGTGGGATAGTTCCTCCCTACCGAATAGTGCTGAAGATAAGAGAACACCGCGAGTTAACAACCTAAGTCTCGGAATTCTTAATGGATCTGAAAAGAAAATCTGTTTTCGATCCACCTTCGGGTGACGACGGCAGAAAGATCAAGTCTCGCACTGCCTCGAAGGGCCCCTTACAGGAAGCTGATCAATCTTCATTGGCCTGTCGCATCGGGAGAGAGGCTCAAAAGGCGCCTTCTGATGGCGAAAGCTCATTGACGCAGGATCAGCGTTCTCGCCTATCCCTGCTAAAAACTTTGACTCGGGAGCTTGTGAACTCTGTTGATCTAAGGGATCATGCTGGGCATGATGTTACAAATGCCATTATCGAGTTGGACAAGGCTTTGCGCCGTGCAAAGACTGCTGTGTCGCCCATCAGCCGTCCTGACAATAACTCCGTCGAATTCACCCGTACGCAAGAAAATGGAAATTCCTTCTGCATACCCGAATTACCTCCTATTCTGGATAGTTCACTGGAATTGGCGGTCTTTACACATCCCGGCTTGAGTAAGGATTCGAAGTCGACTTACGATCGCCTTGAGATACTCGGAGATGCTTATATAGAGCTGATCGCTACGCAGCTCATTTGGAGCAGGTTTGAGGATCTTTCTTCCGGTCAGATTTCGCAAATAAGGGAGCTTCTGGTCAAGAATGAGACGCTGTCGGAGTTTGCGACATTATACGGGCTCGACGGCAGGGCGTCGATACCACAGGACTTGCTTAACCAGCCCAGGCGATGGACCAAGACTAAAGGTGACATCTTCGAGGCTTATGTAGCTGCGGTTATTTTGTCTCGTCCGGCTGATGGTTATCATATTGCTGAACAATGGTTGACACAGCTATGGCTTCCAAGGCTCACAGATACTGTGATACGGCGGACTGCTTTGGATGCAAAGGAGACCCTTGCAAAGAAAATCATGGGAAAAGGAGTTAAGCTCAAATATGTTGACGAGCGTTCACCTGTACAGTTAAGAGGTGGGATGCAGACTTTCTATGTTGGTGTTTACCTTACTGGTTGGGGCTGGCAAAATAAGCATCTAGGCTCTGGTCATGGACCTAGTAAAGCAGTTGCAGGGGATGCAGCTGCACGGCAAGCCCTGTTGAATGAGCCTCTTATAGATAGTATTTCTCGGGTAAAGAAAACTCATGAATTAACAAAAATATAAGGTGTTAAACATAAATATTCATTGCTAGTAGTATAAACTTAGTTCTGGTTATTAGATTAATCTACTAGATTATGTGCACATATAATATACCTATTATAACTATATGTTATTTAATTACTTAGTAGCTAGCTAGTGTGATATTAATAGGTATGTATGTGGCTTCAAGAAGGCCTATCAGGTGTGTAGGGATATCTACTAGTTATTATCATTATATGTATAGTTACTTGCTTATTTACACCTTAAATTCCTTTATATCTTAGGTAAAATTATAAAGGGGAGCTATAATCCTTTAATATTAATAAGATATATATAGTAGCTACTGACCTACATCATATTCTTATATATGTTAAAATACTCCTACTATAATATTATTCTATCTAATAATACATCTAGATGAATTATTATATTATATAATACTTAATTCTAGGAATGCTTAACAACCTGCTAAAAATTTAATCTAGATTATACTAAAATTAGAAGATATAGTCTTATAATTATTAAAAATATTTTGAATACTTTGATTTTATTTTTGTAGATTGATTATTTTTAACATTCTTAGACTAATCTAGATATGTATAATAATAATAATTTTATTATAAATATTATAGACTACTCTAGGCCTTTTAAAAAATAACTAATAATATAATTAACAAACTAAATATAAAGAATAAGACAATATTATTTAAACTATTTAAACTATTAAAACTATTAAAACTATTAAAACTATTAAAACTATTAAAACTATTAAAACTATTAAAACTATTAAAACTATTAAAACTATTAAAACT